CCAAACTCTTTATTTGGACCTTCTGAGGAGAATTCCAAACCAGTCACGATCTCTGAAATCTACTGCTGCTTTGTTAAATCCATCTTGCTATTCCACGTGCAAGGGCGTAGCGAAGGCTCCCATCACACCAGGCTTCAGCATGCCCCTCGCGTCCTTGGCGAAATGCAGCCTATACTCAAAAGCCTGGGAGCTATGGCCTTCAAAGGCCTCCTGGAGAGACGGTTCATCTTTGAAAGCTCTGATTTGAACTCTTTTAATCTGGATAGCACCAAACTCTCACAGGTGTTCCTCTCGGAGATACTTAAAGAGGATCGAGCGTCCCTCACCTTTGAAAAGGGCTTTCATTTTATCCACACCAGCGTGCAGGAGTTTCTGGCTGCCCTGTACTATGTTCTCCAGTCGCTCTCGGGATCAGATCCATTTTCAGGCCTCAAACCAAGCACAGGCCGCTATATCCAGAATGCATTTAAGCAAATGGCATCAGCCGTTAACAAATTCAGCAGACCGCAGCGTCTCTTCTGCAGACGCATTAAGAAAGCCCTTCACTGTGGTGAACGACATCAGTCTGGACACATGGATCTTTTCTGCAGGTACCTTTTAAAACTGTTGTCATATTAAATGCATTTCATTAGCAGGTCAATGATGTGACACTAATTTTTTGTTTGTCTTTTTATTCAAAAATACGTAAAAAATGCAATTCACACATACAGTGTCTTGAATGCAAATCTTCGATATAATTTCACGTTTTTATGGTAAGGAAAGGCTAGTTTAGGTTGTAAAATTTTGATTTACTATGACTCCATTTCATAACTGACCAGTTATTTCCGCTTATCCAGGTTTGTATGCGGCCTGCTGGTTCCCAGAACACGTCTCATCCTAAATGGATTTTTCCCTGATGGGCCCAAGATGCATCTGCTCCGTTGCCAGCCCTCTCCAGACCCGACTCCACCTTTCCTTCTCCATCTGTTACACTCCCAACTCCAGAGCTCCACCCTCAGCCCGGAGAGGCAGGTCAATGTTTGCCACTGTCTATATGAGGCCCAGGACCCTGGTTTGTCACAGCGGCTACAGAGTTGGATGAAAGTTCTTTCACAACAGGCCTTAGATCAGTCCGGTTCGGTAAACAGGGACTGGAGTGAGCTAGCTTTCCTGTTACAGCTCAGTCCAGACCTGCTGGTTTTAAATTTAGATGCTCAAGGACTCGATGCTCAAGGACTACGCCGGCTCCTACCAGTCCTTCCACTTTTTTCAACGCTCAGGTAAATACTGTAACTGTAGGCATAATTGTTTGGAGGCAGATGTGACACACTCAATGTTAAATATAATTTTTTGTGCTTTGTGATAATTATTGTATGTTCTTTACATAAAGCCTGGGCCAGAATCCTCTTGGTTCAGAGGGAGCGTCAGTGTTAGCTCTTGTTCTGAGAAACCCAGATTGTCGAATTCAGAGGCTGTGGTAAGTGGAGGAAAAAAGTAAAAATGTAATTTAAATATAGTCATTTAAAAAACTATAAAGTAAATAAAATATATGAAATAAATTCAAATGACATTGCAAATACTGTATAAAATTAAACAAAAATAATAATTAAATGTATAAATAAATAAATAAATAAATAAATAAAAGTAGTTATGCTACAAGCTCAAATTTATTATGGCTGTGTATGTTCACTCTAGGGTGGTTGCGACAGGACTTGGCTGTGAAGGCCTGAAGATCCTTGTAGAAGCGCTGAAAGAAAATCGTACTGTGACTGATCTCAGGTGAAAAAATATAATTTTCAGTTAAAAATACACATATGTTGCACTTGACTTGTGAGTGTTTACAGTATCATTCTTTCATTAGAATGGCCATAAATAAAATTGGAGATGTTGGAGCTGGTCACCTTGCAGAATTGTTGAGGACGAATCGCACACTGACGGATATCAGGTAAAAGAGACGTATCTCCATCATTTCAATCTCTTGAATAATTTATTTATCTGAAAAGTTCACTGAGTTGAAACATTCTGCATCCTATAGGCTTCGTGACAACCTAGTGACAGACAAAGGAGCAGAAGTCCTCATGGCTGCCCTGAAAGAGAACACTACATTAGAGTATCTGTGGTAAGAAACATTTAGAGCTGATTTACTATAGTCTATTTCCTCATGATTCTGTAACACAAATATATTTTCTGTTCATCGCAGGTTGTTTGACAACAAGTTTACCAAAGATGGCGTCAAGAAACTCAAAGAATTTGCAAAGACCAGACCAGACCTTGACATTAAAGCTTGCGTCTGACCCACAACCATTAAACCAGTGGAGTAGCAACTGGTTCATGACAAACATTTTCATTCATACATTCTATTCATACATTATTTTACATATGGTACAATTACTCTGATATATTACTTTTAATACATATTAGACTGTTAAATGAATAGTTTACCTAAAAATGAAAAATTGCTGAAAATGTACTCACCCTCAGGCCATCCAAGATGTAGCTTGTTTCTTCATTTGAACAGATTTGGAGAAATGTAGCATTACATTATTTGCTCACCAACAGATCCTCTGCAGTGAATGGGTGCCGTCAGAATGTGGTAAAGAAAGTGATAAAAACATCACAATAATCCACAAGTATTCCAAACAACTCCAATCCATCAATTAACATCTTCTGAAGCAAAAAGCAGCATGCTTGTAAGAAACAAGCATTTTCACTATAAACAATTATTCCTTTAACTACTCAGGCTACTACTGCCCTCAGCTGGACGTTTAAGGAGCTGTTATTTGTATGCTATATGTGTACATTAATAAGCAGCAATATTTTCAGACCTATTTTAGGATTTATAGACAGTTTTTTAAAGTTTTTAAACACTGAATTGCATTAATTTATTTTGTGCAATATCGTTTTTATGATCAAATCTTTTACAGCTTTTAGCTAACACCCACACAATCAGATTTGACTTCAGATTTAAGTATATGATAGACTTTGAGGGACCTAAAATGCCTTCACAACACCCATCTGTTTTTCTCGTACTTCTTTATAAATGATTGTCTTCTTTCTCTTCTCTGCTATAGTGTCTCAAACCAGTTCGACGTTTATTGCCCATTTTTGTGGGTGCTTTTACATGCAGAGCTCAGGGCTCCTCTTAGATGCTTCATAAACAGAAGTAAAAATGTAAGTGTAAAATACACAAAGCCAGAGTATTCTTTGGTTAGTAAATGCATTTATTTTAAAGATACTATGTGAAACCGTTACTAAAATCACAGTAATGTATGTTAGAAGCAATTTAAATCGTACATACTGGTGGAGATTTCTAAAACCCAACTAGATAGATAGATAGAGAGATAGATAGATAGATAGATAGATAGATAGATAGATAGATAGATAGATAGATAGATAGATAGATAGATAGATGAGCTTGACTACTTTTTGTGAAAACTTCTGAACACGGTTTTCATTTTTTACTGTTATCCATGTCAGATAATTTTTTGAAACATTGCACACCTGTCTTCTTTCTGAAAGTTGCATAATAGAGGTTAATGCATCATTAATTGTCATAACATCTTGAAATATGAATCGTTATATCAAAGTATGATTGCTTAGCAAGGCTTACAATGCAAAGTACAAGTGTTGTTATGCAATCATTAAAACAAGATGTACAAATAGATGTTCAATAAACATTATATGTATTCTCCAGATTCCAGTTTGCTTTAGTAATGGAGTCTGTGGTTTGTCTTCACTTCAAAGTTCAAACCGTGTTGCTTCAGGACAGGAGTAATTCCATATATTGATGACTGCTGCCTTGAAAGCAAAATCTTACCTTACATGTACATTCTCACGTCTGTTGTGATAAGTCTCAAGCATTGCATAAGTGTATCGATGTGGAGGGGGAAAGAGTTTCCACACCGGAGTAATATTTAACGTCATGAGTCCCTCATGAAAAGCCCGCTTGTGTCTGTATTTTAATGTAGTTGCCCATTTAAACCACCAGATGCCGACGTGATGTTTTGTGACTCATATCACCTCTTTGTTCAGTTTAGTTCTTAGAAAGAGTACAAGAAACAATAAAAAGTCACTTGTTCAGTTCCCCTGTATTATGATCTGTATTATGATTTTCTACTCACTAGCCTGTTTATACAATGTGAATTACCTTTGTTATATAGACCACTGATAAATGCGACTTCAGAAGTTTGAAAAGAGCTTAAATCTGGTTCCCAGAGTTGATGTTGTTCCTTTTTCATGGGGGGAAAAAACATACTGTACATCGAGACATTTGGCGATTTCAATTAAGATGTGCTATAATATGCTTTAGTACATAAACCAGTCGTCCTGGGCTTTTGCAGTAGCCAAATATAATTGGTGAATATCAGCTTGGCTACTATTATGAGAAACCATGAATTGAAAACGATTTTCTTTGTTTATTTTTTGTGTGTTTTATGAATGTTTAAAAGTCATAAATGGTAATCCCACACAGTAAGCATGGAAGCAGAGACCACAACCGCACATAATCCGGCGAAGCAAAACATAATGTGAAATGATTTCTAGATATTCGCCGAGCGGCGCTCTGATTGGCTAGTCTCATCTCTAGCTCAGGAGCCAGCCAATGGGGAAGTTGGCTTGTTTGTGTGAAGCAAGCGGTGCAAATATAAAATCGAGAATAAGAGATGTTGGAGGATAAACTGATGTATGAACATAACCCAAAGATTGAACTCGGCACCAGAAGGTTGTTTATACCTTTTCTACTCTGAAGACAGGCGAAGCAAAGATTTGGTGAAGAAAATAGGTAGGCCTATGACTTTTTATAAGGATGCTCTGTTGTAAATTTACCTGTTAAGGTTGTTGATATTGTATTAGTAGCCTATTGCGTTAGTTCACACAATCATTTATAAAGAAGTATTTTTGTTTTAACCCGATTAGATATTGTTTTTTTTAAATGTTAATTTTTTTTTAATTATTATTCTGCCACATGACAACTATAGCACATTTTCACCATTCTCCAATAACTATTTTCATAACCCAAAGATTGAACTCGGCACCAGAAGGTTGTTTATACCTTTTCTACTCTGAAGACAGGCGAAGCAAAGATTTGGTGAAGAAAATAGGTAGGCCTATGACTTTTTATAAGGATGCTCTGTTGTAAGTTTACCTGTTAAGGTTGTTGATATTGTATTAGTAGCCTATTGCGTTAGTTCACACAATCATTTATAAAGAAGTATTTTTGTTTTAACCCGATTAGATATTGTTTTTTTTAAATGTTAATTTTTTTTAATTATTATTCTGCCACATGACAACTATAGCACATTTTCACCATTCTCCAATAACTATTTTATCATGTCAGTGCATGTTTTTGCGTTATGAACTGTAGCTGAACTGAGACGCGTTGATTGATTTCTATATAATGCGGTGTATTAGTTTTATGCCGCAACTTTGTTCAGTGTCTACCGCAAGCAGCTGTGTATTACATTCTACTTGCACTAATAGCTTCGACAGTTGTTCATTTCCGAAAAATGCTTAATGGTTGTCATGTACGTGGCGTTTTATTTTATTCTTCTTGTTATACGGGCTTTTACATCTGCCGTCAGAACCCGTGTTTTGCCGTTTCATAACATGAATGGGAAATAGAACTGCTTGTACATCATATATGAGGTATATATTACAATATCCGCATTTATACAGCAAGTATTTATTTAGACTAGTGCTGAACAATAGTGTGAAGCGATAACAGGAAGTGCGTTTATCGCGTCTGTTATTCGGCGCAGAGAGTGTATACACGGAACAGCTGAGCTCTGTATGCATGAGGAAGGAGGGGAGAGGGGGGTACATACACACAGGCGGAGGCAATGATGATGATGATGCCTGTCCAGTTCAGACCAGTTTTAGGGCTGCTTATTTTCCGCAGGATACTGTTATCGTTAACACAAATGAGACACCGCGCGCACATCAGAAAAGAAAATCCAACCAGTAAAACGACCCATTTCCAATGCCTTTAATGAATCTTAAATGAACATATAAAACAGTTTGTACATGATTTCTATTTGCATCCAACCAACCGCATCGCTTATGCAAAGCAATGTCACTTCCCTCATGGTTAAATTAGATTTTGCACAAAGATATTAGTAGCACAAAGCATCGACTCGCGCCGCACTGGTTCGAACCGGCTGGATCTTGGTCTCACGTGGAGCTGCTCTCTGAATCTGTTTATCGCGTAGCCAATGAGGGGAGAAGCGAACATGCGAACAGCCAATCGGAGGATAGCAAGGCGAGACTAGAGGCGGGCAAATGGGCGGGGTTTCCATCAACAACATTCTCTTTTGGAACTGTTTTTTTGTTTATGAGCTGTTTTGTAGCTAAGCGAGACAAAGAAACGGGATATAAATAATGTTCGGTGGGAGTTACGGTTACAACAAACTGGCAGCAAGTGAACATTCACTATATGCTGTGAAAAACAATGTTGTGAAATCGTTGGGAGAATAAAAAAAAATGTAAAATGTATCATTATACATGTATTTAATTTGTACATGTGCTCATAAATTTAACAATATTATTTAATATTTACCATTAAATATCGAATACCCAACTCTATTGCCACTTTCACAGGATTTCCCAAAGTTTAGGGGGGTTTCCTCTGTATTACCAGCACAGACTGTTGTCATCTTCTTCAGTCATGGCTCCCTCACTGGCCACAGCCTTCTCCAGGCGATGGTGGATGGCGATTACTGCGGTGATCGAAAACCTGTTGTTCTCTGCTGTCCTGCTCGGATGGGGCTCACTGCTCATTATGCTAAAATCAGAGGGCTTTTACTCCTACCTCTGCAGAGAACCAGGTAAGGAAGGGGAGAAAAGAGTGCACTCAGTGCAGGTTACAGAAACACAATTCATTGACACTCATAAAGACATTAAATGCACTATAGATGCCAGATTGAATGCTGCAAATAATTACGTAAACATCAAAGGAAAATTATGCCTATATACCATGTTAATGGCTTTAATAGCTTTGTTTTCACACTTTCCCCACTCAGATTTGAACAATAAATGTTTGGCTGCTTGACCTAAAACATCTTTGGGATGCACTTGCATTAAACACTCTACCAAAGATGTTCATTTGACCTACAGCATTTTTCTTATTTCGCAACAGAGGTTGCTCTTTAAAACTGCAAGAGTTTATAGATTTTATAATCACTTCATTGTGTGAGTGAATGTAATACAGCATTGTGAAAAACAAAATCTCAGTTGTCTGGCGCCCATCGCAAGGCTTGTGGAGGAATCCAAACCTGAATATCAATCGATCACTAAGAGTCAGTGCACCTTATTTGGAAGCCTTCAAGCTTGTGTTGCCATTAGGAATTACAAACAGCATCTACAAGCTTGTTTGGCATCAGAACGTTCGTAAAGGGGGGCTAGATAATTTGAGCTCCGTCACAGAGTTGATTTCACGGTAAACAGTCTAGAGGACATCAATCTGCTTAGCTTATTATATAATACAGTAAAGAATCTTTCAAGTGCAGCTGTATCTTCTTAAGGTCTTAATATGAAAGAAATATTTGAATCAAACAATACATCTTAAGAAAACTTCAGAGGGACAGTGATATGCTAGACTAATTGGTTAGAGATGAGTATTTGTGTATTCTGAACACGTTACCAAACACACTCGGTGATACATGAATTAAGGGTTTTCTGAATAGCTGAAGACCACTTAATAAAGATGGAGGCCAACCGGTGCATAAACTTATAATTATTCATATATTGTTCTTTAAAAGCACAGGCAGTGCACTGTGTCCTGTTTTCCAGTGTAAAACAACTTCCTTAAATCAAGATGTATTTACTTGAGGTGCAAAATGACTCAAGGTATTGTCTTGTTTTAAAAGAAAATTAAGAACGTTTAATACAAAAAATATTTTAACTCAAAAGGAACTTGAAAGGGAAGTTTTTTTTTCTTACAACATTTGGCAGATATTTGTTTTTCTTGTTTTAAGTATAAAGTCAATTATTTCAAAATTATTAAAAGCTAGACAAAAATACTGAGTACAAAAATGATTTCTGCTGCTTAATTAATCCAGATGAATGTAGACTCTTACCCGGAAACATACTTTTCAGGTCTGCTTAAAACTCTTACAACACAATAATGTGTGTCTGGGTCATGACGTGTCTGGTACATCTATGAACAGTGTGTTCCTACTGATGTCCAAGATTAACTTGATTTATTTATACAACCTGTATCCATTTATTTACATCATGTACTGGTGCCCTTAATATCATATTGCACCATTGCTAGTGGAGTTCATGTAAATGTCATTGTCATAGGGCAAAATCGCTCAGAGTTAAGAAAAAACACGAAAGCCATGTGTCCCATAACCTTTTGGGTATGCAAAATAAATATATCCAACATATATATGAGAGGGAAAAAGTGTGCAGTAATGAATAAAAGCTATGCTATTTGATTTTTGTTGACCTCCTGTCTGTTCTTAATGTGTACTGTCAGGTGGTTGCTGGCAATTTGACATGGATGCTAATGGTTTCATAATATCAGCTTGTTGGCACCAGTCTGAGGTTTCCTTTGGAGCGCCATGTCTTGTTCTTCAAAGACTTCTTTCTGTGCTGCTTTGATTTGGACTTTTTCAGGGAACGAGGTCAGGAGACTCAGCCATGCTGCTCTGAACTGGCCCTGATTTATTTTTCCACTATGATATCTGCCTCTAAAACGATTTAACACGCCTTGGTGAAAACAAATTTCCGCAATTTGGAAGAAACAGCCTGGCTACACTGATATCTTATGACCCATTAGCACAATGGCTAAACACCATCGCCATGATATAAAGTGCACATCTGGCCGGCGTTCTTCACTTATCTGGTGTTTGAGAGTTTGTGGTTCACACTGCGATGTGAAGTGTGAGGCTCAAATACAAGAACCTGGCTTTTCTCCTCCTCAGATCTCCTTGCTGTTAGCTAACATTTAGTAATAACTAGCTCAACACCATTTTGTCACTTTTATTGATGGGATATTGAGGGTGGAGGACACAGATATCAGTGCATACTGCAATCCTGTACATTCACATGTCCCTTCTCTCTTTCATTTCAACTGTTGTCAGCATCTAGTTCAGAGATTCCAGACACCAGGCGTCACATGTCTGATGACACAAGGAAGTAAATGTGGCTCAAGCGTTTGCTCAATGTAAATATCAGATTATCTCGCCATTTCCTCACCTACTTATTTTCCTTGGACTCAGCTTTCCACCGCATGTTATCAGCTGGTTGCTTCTCTTTAATCAGCAGGTGTTAGGAAACACTGACCAGGAAAATGCTTGTCTGGCTAAATGCTTTGGCATAGCACATCTGACCGAGTCTGAGTTCATGACGTTTTTTGTGCTTCAGATTCGTGTTGAATTCTCTTTCTGTGCTTCTCTCACTTCTCCATATCAAAGCAAGCGGAACATCAGGCCTGGCTGTCTCTGTTTTTTGCTGATTAGATGTAATGGAACAATGGCTTCTGAAACATCTGAAATAGAGCTCCTCGCTCATCTGAACAGACCTAAAAAGTGAATCCAACAAAACCTGTCAAGAACATCTGCAAGTCATATTTCACCCAAAAAGCAAAGGAAGAAATATTTTGCATAAAGAAAATGGAGCCTGTTTTAGGTGTTTTTGTCAAATTTTTATACAATTTTATGTATTTTTAAATTGATATTTTATTTATGAAAAAGTATACACTACAGTTCAAAAGTTTGATGTCGGTAAGATTTTTTAAAACGTTTTTGAGAGAAGACTCTTATGCTAATCAAAAATGATTTGATTGGTAATTTTGTGAAATATTTTTACAATTTATAATTAATTAATTATGTATAATAATTTCCAGAAATTACTTCAGACATCATTCTAAAATGCTGATTTGGTACTCAAACAAACAATAAATATTGAATTTAAAATCAGTTGTTTTTTAATATCTTTGTTGAAACTGTGATTTTTTTTCAGGATTCTTTGGTGAATAGAAATCTCAAAAGAACAGCATTGAAATATACATTTTTTGTAATATTATAAATGTCTTTACTGTCACATTTGATTAATTTAATGTGCCCTAAATGTATCATATATATATAAATGTATCAAATATAAAAAAATCTTGACCCCAAACTTTTGAAAGGTAGTGTAACATAATATAAATAGAATTTTATTTAGGATTTCATGTGCGATTCATTTATCCCATTCATTGTTATAAAAAAAATTATAATGTAACAAGCCAAAAAATCTTAGTCTCAAAATAGTCTTCATTTATTTATCCATTAAATTTTGTAAAATGTAATTTCCTTTTGAATTTGAGATTAAATGTGGCTCAAATTGTAGACTTAATAGAGAACAACCTTTTTTATTCAGTAATTTCGTGAAAACGAGTAAAAACACGCTACTTTTGTGTCAGTCTGTAACTGCTAACTTGAAACGGGTATGTATTGACTTAAGGCAGCTCCTCCTTTATTACTCAGCAAAACATCTAAAGCTGAGCAGATATGTCCTCTAAAAACCAATCAGTGAGCTTTAACCCAATTCTTCTCATCTTCAGTCACCTGCTCAGGTCATCTCTGCTCCACAAACACAGCTCATTTGTTTGTTTACTGATCACATTTGAACAAAAATCCCTCACACAAAGGCTCTCTGTCTCTTGCCCACCCTGTTACGTTAATAACTGCTTCCTCCATATGCTGCAAACAGCCCCATCCCCCATCTGTCCTTCTCAGAACAAGTTATTCCAGAACATATTCAAGGCTGTTTGTGTTTAGATAACACATGGATAAACCGTGTTCTTGAATCTTCAAGAATCAAGTAGGAGACTTGTTGCCCAGCCAAAGTATGATTATCCCTAGTCAAAAGAACCAGGGAAGCCTGGGTGAAACAACAGGGTTAAATGTTAGTCAAGGTGCTCATGCCTTAGCGGTTGTGGGAAGGTGTTGGTTTTAGGAGACTGAGCTCCAATGGGGGTTCAGATATACTCTCATGCTATTTCTGCTAGTTGTTTATTGTGTATAGCAGCTTGTTTATTTGACCCTTTGCCCAGCATCCTGGCGGCTTTGGGAGGGGGGCACGATGGTGGCCGCTAGATCTTACAAAGGCGTCTCCTGTTTTACTTCCCTGAGTGTCATAAATGGTTTCCTAGAAGTCAGGGTTCCAATTAGTTTACATGTGAGTGTGTGACTGCTGACTACCCTACCAGTATGAATTTACACACTGGTCCATGTTGGTTAGTGCTAGTTTGGTGATTAGATTGCTCCGTTTGGGTTTATTCTGTCTTGCCCTCTCCAATTCTCCAGGTAACGGTACAGGGCAGAACGTATCTGAGAATGAAAATGATACGACAGTAGTCTCAAGAGGTGAGGAGGAGGATAATCTTCAGATGAATGGCTGGCCCATCTGCAAAGATCAAGACGAGATGTTGAACCTGGCCTTCACCATTGGCTCCTTCCTCCTCAGTGCCATCACTCTGCCCCTCGGCATCATCATGGACAAATACGGCCCGCGCAAATTAAGGCTGCTCGGCAGGTATAGGAGAAAAATGCAGTACATTTATATAGTCAAAAATATTCAGTGTATACATATAAATATATCATATATACATTTACATATATAATCATATATAATATTTTCCTAGTGCCTCGTTTGCCCTCTCCTGCATCCTGATTGCATATGGAGCAAGTGACCCTAGAAGTATGTATGCAAATCCACCTAAGACCACCATTCTGTTATTACCTGTCTGTCTCTGCTCTCTTTGACCTCCTTTGTCTGTTTCTTTCACAGATCTTTCCATCCTGATCTTCTTTGCCCTGGCACTGAATGGATTTGGAGGAATGTGCATGACCTTCACCTCGCTCACAGTAAGTGCTCATGTCATATTTGTGGGTCTTCATGGGTGTCCTCTGCAGTCTTTTGCACAAAGGCCATGGCGCAGTCTCGCAAACTGGCCACATGCCACTGTTTCCTGCTCCCAAACATTGCTGCATCATCATTTATTCATCCTTAATGAGACTCTTTTTATAGCTGGATTTCCAGCATCCCAGAAATGGCCTGATATTGCATGTGATTTGAAATTGTTTTTGATCAACACCATCTAAACCACTTAGCAATGGCATAACATCCATGTAGAATAGCCAAACAACCACATGGCAATGCCATAGCAATGACTTAGCAATCACCCAAAGCACATTAGCCTTCTGAATGAATCAGTGTTTTGAGCAAATTAGTGGAGTAAATGATTCAATGACACACTCTTAAAGACAGTGGCTGAATTCAAAATAGCATACTATTCTATTTCTGCCATATAAAAATATGGGAGAAATAGTAAGAATAGTATGTAGTGTGACATTTCAAATTCAGACATTCACTTCATGAATGAATCAATGACTCACTCATAAAGAAAGGTACTTGCTGCCACCTGCTGATATAACCATGTAACCTCTAGAAAATGTCCATCGCTACATGGATCAGTCTGTTTGGAATCTATAGAGCATTCCAAATCAGTCACTTATGAAGTTCTGTTTAGTATGCTGCCTTAGAATAAAGCTGAAGTAGACAGCAAGGTCATTTAGAGCTGTTGTGTCTCTTTATCTAGTCATATGTTTAGTGTAACATCTGCGGTGCATTGGGTTCATATTGCGAAACATCACCAGGAGATGTAAAGAGAGCAGACTGATTTGAAGTAAACAGGAAGTTGTGCTCATTGCCAGCTGAAAGGTGGTTGTCTCTTGTTTCTGCACGCTGATCTGAAATCATAGAAACCCTCACCAGGGTATCGAGAGTTCATAGCTGAAGGCACAGCCGTTGCCAGTGTTGTTGATGTTCTGTCCCGGGTTCTTTCTCAACATTTGCACCATGCCTCTGCCTGTCCAGGCAACCCTCCAACTGTTACATACACAGAGAGAAAAACACACACTCAGAGGGAGTGAACTGGCATGCATGAGTGCATAGTGGAACAGTACAGACTGTTATCTCAGCTGTTGTGCTCTTATAACCTTTTCCCAGCTGTTCTGTATACTGTGTGTTTTGCATTGCTGGTTGTTGTGGCGAGAGGTTAGAACCTGGGGTTCACAGTATAGTTCTGACTGTCTGACATCTGTTGTTTGGGTGTATCTCTTAATAGCTTCATTATTGTTACCATTTTTAGATTTATTAAGGATCCTTGCTAAGGTTGTTGCTCATACGTTGGGTTATGCATTTAAACACACATCTAAACTTCAGCACGTAACTCCTCTTGCACCATTTTTGTTACAGACATGAATGATACCTCAGCTTTTTATGTGTTATATTTCTCAGCTATTTTTCCTAGCAATGACATGGCAACCGACTAGATCAGTGCTTTGGCAACTACCCACAACCCTTGTACAATATACTGGTATTGACGATAATCGTGATATAATAATAAATAATGAAAAAATATCATAAATAATGAAATATCGTTATCTATTAATTAGTGGTGTCGCAATATACCGATATTGGCGATATTTGAAAATGAATAGTATACATACGATAATATGACACATAATAAGCCAGCAACAGCACCATTATGGAGCGTTAAAACTCTCACTTGTGATTTGTTTCATTCATACTCGACACCAGAGGGCACCCTCATGCAGAAAGTCTACAAGTGAGACGCATAGGAGTAATAAAACGAATAACTTTCCAGCTGTCCCCGCTGTAGCTGAATAAAATGCAGAAAGAAATGTTTTGTATTATGAAACATGATGAGAATAAAGACACGATTACAACATTATATGTTTTATCTGTGTTCTTAAAGCCATCTCAGGTATTTTCATATGGATAATGTATATTTATATTGCAATGCTAATCGACACACCCTTTATCACTGTATAGAATACTATAAAATAAGAATCAGTTCATAGAAGTTATTTCAAACACTCGATCGACGCTATAACGCAAGTTTGGAGTAAAAATATGTACTTATTCTCATAAATTGTCTTACTTTTACACTGTGCTAAGCTAAAAACGTTAGCATTTTTATCTCTTCTGTTTAGTGTAATTGTTCCTTTTGTATGCAATGGTGTGATTCATTGGTCAAAAAAATATTAATTTAACTGATAACTTGATTTATTTATTATTATTTTATTTTTTCAAGATTTCTATAGATATCACAATATATCGTTATCGTGAATTTTTTAGGCCACGATAATTGTAGCACCGTAGCAACATAATATTTGTCCGGCAATCAGCCGAAACGCTCTAGAATCATGGCGGTGAGTTTTTCGCAGGTCAGTACTGCTCACACTTAATCTAGTTTATTGAACTGCAGAAGAGAAAGTTTTCTGAACGTTGTATTCTAAACCACCTTCACATTCTGAAGACAAACCCTAAGTGGTTTGGTGAAGCTGTCAATTTACCCTTCTTCCTCTTTTTCCCTCACTTTTATGTCTCTCTATCTGTCTCTCTGTGTTTGCTCACTCAGCAGTTAATAAACCAGCTGCAGCAGAGTGCAGCAGAGCTTGTGTTTCCTCCCAGCACACCTCTGATGTTTTCCCAGTGCACTGACTCAGCTTTCTGTTTAATGGCGGGGACTGTCCCCAACCCCCTCCACCGGCAGCAGTGTCCCAGCCACCTGATTCACTGTCTGCCCTCAATCCTTCATCTGTCCATTCCTCCAGCTCTCGATTTAGCTCTCCATCTATCACTATCTGCCTTCCCACTGGCTCTGTGACAAGCAATCATATCAAGTCTTTCCCAACACAACCTCAGATGTTGGTTGTTTTGCTCTTAAAACCATTGAAATCCGTTGACCAATGGGTTAAAATAAATATAGGTATATTATCTGAAACATCTTATTGTCTTACACAATTTAATGTTTTAAGTAAATTTAAAAAATGTTACCATATTTTTACAGTGAAAAACAAGGCAGTGTTAAAGAACGTTTATTTTTTACAACCCAGAACACTCTAGCAACCAGTAAATTCTTCTGAGTATTTAATCCATGTTCATTTTTATAGCTCTATACTCTTATTGTACAGTATGCCATACTCATATTATATCTTCTTAGGAAACAAATATAAAATAGCAAGCTATAAAATTTCATTGGGGATATCCTGTTCCTCTGTATCTTAGCTCAGTCTCTCACTCTCTGATGCACTAATGCTGTTTTTTCTTCATTTCTGCCTTCAATCCATTTATAACCCATTTCTTTTAGCATGCTGAGTCATGTGAAGATGAGAATAGAAAAATGGCTTAGGATGGTGTTTAGACTCATGCCATCGTTATCAGAGACACGCTCTTCATGTTGTTCACACTGGTGTTTTGCCATATGCCCATTGGGCTCTGGCTTAAAATGAGGTGTGAATGTTTTTTATTTTATAATTAGTCATCTAAATGCACCAGGGCCAACCAGTTTTAGTAGTATTTTTATATATAATAAATTGATATTATTATATAGATAATATTATCTATGTTGAAAGTGTTGATAATTTTTATCAACATTTTATTATTAAAATAAATATGTATATGATTAAAACGTATTATTATCAATGTTGAATAGAAAGTTCAAAAGAACAGTATTTGTTTGAAATATTTTTTTATTAAATGTCTTTAAGGTCTTTAATGTCACATCAAGGACACTAATATGTCCTTTCTGAATAAAAAAATGTTATTTATATAAAATACAAACCATTGCTAAATAATATTGCCATTTGTAGCAATTTTATTATCTATGTTGAAAATGTTGATAATTTTTTTATTATCAACATTTTATTATTAAAATAAATTTGTATATTATTAACTTACTTTTATCAATGTTGAATAGAAAGTTCAAAAGAAATCGTTTTTTTGTAACATTATAAATGTCTTTAAAGTATTTGAATGTTAATGAATTTAATGTACATGCCTCATTTGTGGCATCAGATAAGAAATTATGTACTATTTATTTAAAAGTGAAGTGAAGTGACATGTGGCCAAGTATGGTGACCCATACTCGGAATTAGTGCTCTGCATTTATCCATCCAAAGTGCACACACACAGCAGTGAACACACACACACCGTGAACACACACCCGGAGCAGTGGGCAGCCATTTTTTGATGCGGCGCCCGGGGAGCAGTTGGGGGTTCAGTGCCTTGCTCAAGGGCACCTCAGTCGTGGTATTGAAGGTGGAAGAGAGCGCTGTACATTCACTCCCCCCACCTACAATCCCTGCCGGTACGAGACTCAAACCCGCAACCTTTGGATTACGAGTCCGACTCTCTAACCATTAGATAAACAACTAATAGGGGAATTGACTTCCCCTATTCAAAATGTAGGGATTGATGCTATTTTTTGTGTGTTATGACAGATACCCTTTATTGTTGTTTTACACTACAATGACATTTGTGTTTTCTCTGTTCCGGTGGCCGTGACTTTGGGACTGTTTTGTCTCCGGTAGATTCTTCTGGTCTTATCGACTCCACAAAGTATCGCTTTACTTGGAGACTACCAGTGTTTGTCAAAACTTTTAATGTTTTGTTTCCATCCCTAGTCAATTTCATTGCAGAGCAAGCAAGTGAAGACAGAGCGACGCTAGAGTTATAATACAAGATAAGTGTAGTGTCAGTAGGGTCTTTTTTTCATCACGTGACCGCCTGCAGCTGGTGATTGTCTGTGAAAGCAGAAGAACATAGTGTTGTTAAAACAGTCTCTTGGTACTTCACATGTTACTCAACTCCAAGAAATAGCCATTACTCTCTGTCTGACAGGCCCATCATGTGGAGCTCTGTTCGTCGTTGGCTCTGTTCCACAGTCCATTAGCCAAAACCGTTCCTGCACAGCCTCTCCAGCCACAGGCACAATGCCGCCTAGAGCCGCTGGTTGTGTGAGAGTTATCGTAAGTGTCTTCTGGGATGTTTTGGCTCGGAGATGACCTTTACTCTAATTAGAGGCAGTGAATGGCGTCTGGGTTGGGTTCCAACAGAGAGATTTCCTTCATTCTTGTCTTTAACAAGCTTTTGGACTGTGAAGCAAGCGTGAAGTGGAAGATGTCCAGAGAGTTCTTAGAAAATCTTGAACTGTGTGTTGTGGAGGAGATGCCATATACAGTAAGACGCTGTTAGCTGTCGACGGGTGGGAAGTAGATGAAGGATTTGTATACGGAGAAAATGGAAATTACCTAGAAAATAAGGAGCATGTACTAGAACAATATGACACCCTGCAAATCTAATAAAAAATTGTACAATTAAAAAAAAATAATGGTGTGACATATTATACTCCAAATACAAAACTATTTACAAAGAGAATTTAGCAAATTATTTTACATTTATTATACATTCAGGTTGACCACAATAAGAGACTATGTGGAACATTTGTACTTAATTAAAATGTAATTGTGCTTTATTAAAAAATTTTTTTTTTTACATGAATTACTAAATTACTAAAGTGTAAAAAGCAAAAAAAACATGTTTTTAATTATAAAAAGCCACTTATAAAATTAATTACATTATTTATTAATTGTATGCTTTTTTATTCACTCCTATTTTGTTTTTTATTATCTGTTGGTTTGTTTATTTTTTTATTTATTTTACATTTTTGTGTGTGAGCTCCTGTCAATTTAAATTTGAATAAATGAAAAAAAAAATGTTCAATGCACATTTTAAATAAATCAATTAAAATAAATAATAATAATACAATCATTTAAATAATTTAATAATAATTAAATTAAATGACACAAATATTCAAGAGTGCTGTAGACTAATGATCTTTAAGAATATTCTCCTGAAGAATACTATTGAAGAATACACTCTTGCTCTCTCTGCCCCACTTATTTCTTAAATCTTAGGCGTTCAGGCTCTCTTCCTTCCTCTATATTTTCTTGGTGGGGTCTGACAGTTGTTTACCCTGACAGTGCAGTTTGGAACAGCGAGTGCTGTACTCCTCCGCCCAGCTCAAAGGCAGCAGCGTTATGCAAGCTTCTCCGGTGTCCCTCACACTTTCTCTCGCTGCTAAAAATATTCCCAGCTTGCAGTTGCCTTTCAAACGATGTCCCCCCACCTACATACTGCTCCCACCAGAGAATATCACTGTTACCCTGATGTAATGTTTACTTTCATACCTTCTGCTATATCTGACATGTTTTGTCATTTACAGCGGCTCCTGTTACAAGAAATCTGTTTGTTTTGCTTGTGGCTCGAATATTATGTTCACAATATAGATAAATATATTTGCTTTTTATACTCATGATGGACACTAGGCCCAAGTACAGTCACTAAAAATGTTAACATATTTTTAATGCACTTGAAGATTTTTAATCCCGTTTGTCTCTTCTGTAGCTTCCCAACATGTTTGGTGATCTCCGCTCCACTTTCATCGCACTCATGATTGGCTCGTACGCCTCATCCGCTGTCACCTTCCCAGGAATAAAGGTAAATCTGAGTCCCAGGTTAGACTTATTTAATAAGCCGAGTTTAAATCAGTGATATTGATAATGATTGTTGCTCTATCAGGTGATCTACGACCTCGGTATTGCCTTAATCACCATTCTTCTGGTGTGGGCTGGCTGTGCTGGCCTGGTCTTCATCAACTGCTTCTTCAACTGGCCACTCGAGCCCTTCCCAGGACCTGAGGACATGGATTTCACGTATGTAGTTCAGCGTCTGTGCATTGCTGTTGTTTTTTTAAGGAATTAGTACTTTTATTGAGCTAGGATGCATTAAATTGATCAAGAGTGACAGTAAAGACATTTACAAAAGATTTATATTTTAAATAAATGCTGTTCTTTTGAACTTTCCATTCATCAAAGAATCCTGAAAAAATGCCGCACAACTTTTTTCAACATTGATAATAATAAGAAATGTTTCTTGAGCAGCAGATCAGTACATTAGAATGATTTCTGAAGGATCATGTGACACTGAAGACTGGAGTAATTATGCTTGACTTCACAGGAATAAATTACAATTTAAAATGAATTACAATATAAAAGAGTTATTTTAAATTATAAAAATATTTCACTGTATTTTTAAGTAAATACATTTTACATATTGTGTATCTCACGCTGAAATTTGTCTCTTTAACAGTGTGAAGATCAAGTTCAGCTGGCTGGGCTTTGACCATAAGATCACAGGGAAACAGTTCTACAGGCAGGTGACCACCGTTGGTCGGAGGTTGAGTGTTGGCAATTCAATGAAGAACAATCCACAACAGCTGGCCGCTCAAGACGGCAATAAACTCTGCCTATCAACCCTCGATCTGGAGGTCCAGTGCAAGTCTGAAGAGGAATGTGAGTATCATTCTTACTGACATGTTTTTATTGACCAGTGTCATCTCTGACGATCTAAACTAGTCTGAAACCACATTAAAATCTGGGATTGTTTTTAAAAATGTTGAAATAAAAGCTTTAGGATATTGATTTTTAAAGGGTTAGTTCACCCAAAAATGAAAATTCTGTCATTCATTACTCACCCTCATGTCGTTCCAAACCCGTAAGACCTTCGTTCATCTTCAGAAACCTAATTAAGATATTTTTGATGAAATCTGAGAGCTCTCTGATCCTCCATAGACAGCAAGGATATCACCATGATCAAGGCACAGAAACGTTGCAAGGACATTGGTAAAACAGTCCATGTGACATCGGGGGTTCAACCGTAATTTTATGAAGCTACGGGATTACTTTTTGTGAGCAAAGAAAACAATAATAACATCATTCATTCAGCAGTTCTTCTCCCCGAGTTACCGTCTTCCGCCATTTTGGAGAGTACCCCAGAACGTAATAAGCGCTGTTTACATTCAGCATGCGCGTGCTTTCTACTGAACGTAAACAATGCTGAATATGCTAATTACGTTCTGGGGTACTCTCCAAAATGGCAGAAGACGGTAAATTCAGGGAGAAGAATTGTTGAATAAATTATGTTATTATTGTTTTCTTTGTGCACAAAAAGTATTCTTGTAGCTTCGGAAAATTACCGGTTTAAACCCTGATGTCACATGGACTATTTTACCGATGTACTTGCTACGTTTCTGTGCGTTGATCATGATATCCTTGCTGTCTATGGAGGAACAGAGAGCTCTCAGATTTCATCTAAAATATCTTAATTTGTGTTCCGAAGATGAACAAAGGTCTTGCAGGTTTGGAACGATATTTATATCGTTATATCGAGTAATTAATGACAGAATTTTCATTTCATTTTTGGGTGAACGAACCTTTTAAGTTTTAGGAAATTTTAAACAAAGAAAAGTTATAAAAATAAGTAAGAGATATTAGAAATTCAATCAAATTGGTCAGGTCAGGTTCATATTAATTTTTCATTCATATTGATTTGCTGATAAAATGTTTTTTAAAGATAAATAATAAATATAAATATTTTTAATAAAATAAAACAGTATGTGTCATTCAGGTTTTATTTTAATGAGCTGGTGACATGAGTGCCAACTGCCAAGTAATTAAAAGTTATCTGTAATGCAACTTGATTGTTAATTATGAAGGCAGAATAGTGGTAATCAGATTACCAAATCTCATTTATTTCCATTGTTTTAATGTCTTGAACAAAGTCCTTGTTCATCAAATTGAAGTGACTTATGTAATCCTGAATTCATGCGTATTTCAGAAAGAACTGGACAGAACACAGAGAGACTTGGCTCTCGCCATTGTACAGCATCTTCCCCCTGGCTGTGTCCAGACATGCAGGGAATATTCGAGCAGACAGGGGGCGGTGTTAATGAATGCTCCTCAGCAAATCCCCTTTATTGTGCATGGGGATTCCTTCATTAGCCATGCACACCGTTTCTGACATCTGGAGGTTGCCAAACCACTCGAGGCTGCAGACACACGCTGCGTTTGCACTTTACTTCTACTAACCCAAATCTGTGACTGCAATTATTCCAAATTCACCTCAAACTTGTCAGAATACTGCAAACTCACTCACTCCCCACCGGCACCTTTTTTTGGGGTTCTGCAGCCCTCTGCGGGGCTCCCGGTTGGGCTCTTTTGTAGTAAACGGAGCGTGCAATCGATTCAGACTGCGTTTCTGGAGGACCCATGGCACTGGTGTATGTCTGGGGCTAAAATTGGCAGAGGTGGAGACGGTGGTGAGGGAGAGGGCAGATAGCGCCGAGGAGCTGTTTTAGAGACGCTGCTGGAGATGTTTGAGAAAGAGAGACTGATGCTGATCCCGGCTTACTGTCATCCTAAGAGTGCTAATGCCTTCACCACCTTGTGTTTCCATTACTGCAGTCTATTACTGACTCATTGTCGACGGCTGGAAAGTATGTGTGTGTGTACTTAGGGACATAATGAGGCAGTTTGTTTGTGTGTGTGCATGTGTTCCAGAGCATATCAGGTGTGTTGAGGTCAGATTCCCAATGTACCAGGTAACAGGCACTGTAAAGGCCTCTCTAGTGCTGGTCAGTGGATGCATTTATGGCACTCGAATTAGTGGATTATTAACAAACCCAGACCCCCCAGCCTCTGTGTTACTGTGCTAGGCATTGAAGTGTTGCCTGGCCATCCAAACACCCGCAGAATTATTTTCCATGTGAACAGAACCCTGTGGGCCCTGCATGCTTTTGCCATTTTTTAAAGGCATTGAAGCACCCTGGTTAAATTGAGATGACCGAGTTCACAGTGGTTTTCTATGGAAAGATGCTTTTGGAAATGGCATGGCAGTACGAATAGTTGCATAACTGAAGGCGTTGGGTGTCCAATCACAGTGAACAATTTTGAACGGTAACTAGAATTTTCTATAATAAAAATGATTGTTATTGATGAGTTTTATTGAATGTGTTTTTCAGCCCAGTCCTTCATGCGGAGCATCTTTAGCCCCATATTCATGCTCAGCCTCATCACAATGTGTGTGACTCAGCTCCGTCTCATCTTCTATATGGGGGCCATGAACAATATTCTGGAGTCCCTTGCTGATGGAGACCTAAGCAAAGGTATGGGTGTTTGACAAATAAACAAGTTGTGTGATGCTTTTCTGTTGCTCAACGCCCATTCATTTTCTCCATAGAGAAATAGATTTTTATGATATTATAGAATTTGATGCAGCCAAAGAGATTTATATATAATTACAGATAATTATTTTGTATATTCTATTATATATATTCATGTACAGTATAGTAGTTTATAATAAAGTGATTTTATTATAATGTTTAAATTGATATAGTGCCTACTTATATTTGAAATGATCTGTATATTTTTCACTAAAATAAAAATATTTATATATATTTGTAATTATAAGAATTATGTGTATATGTATTATTTTAATATAATTTTGTAATACTAATATATGTATTATAAATCAATTCTACTTAAATTACTATCTTATTTTTTGTGACTTTTTGCAGTGTGTAAATTGTATATATTTTATATAATTTTACACACACACTTATATATACAGTATATATATATATTTTTTATTTTTTTTATTTAGGCAGTAAGCTATTCATTGCATATATATATATATATATATATATATATATATATATATATATATATATATATACACACATACACACACTTACAAAGTTTTTTTTTAAATAAAAATCTTAT